GGTTTCGGTACGCAACACACCTTCTCCCCAAGAGGGGGCGGAAGTAAAATTGTCTGCGGCGGTGGCGGCGGCTGGGGAGACATGAAACCATAGTATCCAGGGTTCTCCAAGCTTTTTCATGATAGCATGGCGGGTGCTGCCTTTACGGTCCTAGTTGCAAATCGCCTAAGGCAGTTTGCGTGCTAGTGGGTTCCGGGAGCTAATATATTTAGCATGGCGGCTATGATATTTAGAATGGCGGGTGCATTTTAGGATGGCGGGGCTCGACGATAGCCTGGCGGGCCACCAGGCTATAAGTGCTCTTGGAGAACCCTGGTATCCCCGCCGACTTCGTCGAGGGGAATACAATAATATGTATGAAATAGAACAATAGTGATGATTGATGGCTTGCACCTTTCTGCAATTATAATTTATTCATCTTCATGAGGAAAGTAGTCGGAAAAGTAAAGGTTTAAAATTTAGTAAAAATAAAAGCATCATAACACAAATGTAATAAACATGTGTGGTGCTTTGGATCTACATCATCTTTATAGCCACATTGCACCTACCTCAGCTGACATCGGCTCGGAAGACAGCTGAATGAGCGGAATGATGTAAATGTACATCTTTGATTTGATGCAGTGGGTGTCGGTCAGATGTTTGGGGGTGTAACCTTCAGCCCCAGGTGGTATTTCTACCAGACAGCTTTTTTGCTTTCGCCCAGAGCGTCTAAACAATAGCCAGTTCCCTTTAGCCAGTTGCAGCCTATGAAAATGGCTCTCTACCACCAACTTGAACTCTTGATGGGATAGTTGAGATCCAACATCCACTGTTTTCAAGCCTAAAAAACCAACATAACAGATGTACACAAACACGACAAACATATAGTTGTACTAGGCATCAGTCATGTCTGGAAGAAAAGTCGTCTGACATTGTAACTGTTACCAGTGGCATTCCATTTAATGTCCAAAATGGCTAAAACACAGACCACACTGCACATAAAATGCTACTCGGGTACACTCACGTTGTCATTTTGCCCTAACACAGCCAGATTACCTACAGGAGACATCTAAGCCTTCAAAAGCATGTATGGTGGCATCTGACAACAAACGTTTATAAATTCTAGACACCCCATCAAAGCGAGTTCTGTATAAAAATATACCTAAACCAGCTTTCGCAAGAGTGCACTCCTCTTCCCTTTCAGGAGGGTATTCACTGTTGCCAGCTAGGCAGCACATCTTGAAGCTGACTTTAGTAGTGGTACTGGTAGTGCATTTGCCGGCACCATTCCGTCTTGCAGAGGTCCTGCCACTTGCCTTCTTGTAGTAGGGGAAGGCTCGCCTAGAACACAAGTAATTACATTCTTGCATAGATATAGGTCATATGAGTTGTATTCACTTTTTAACAGTTGTTTTATTGCACAGTTACATTTTTTAACACATATAGCATAAACATATAGCATAACACATAGCACAAAATTATACAACAATTGAAATGTTTTGTTTCTCACAGGCATTTACAATGAAATTATAGTCAGATTAGTCACCATTTTTCATGTACCACAACCACACATCTGAGCAATTCAGAAGATGCCTACCTCATCTCTGCTGCTACATTCGTTTGTTGAGGCTGAGGCTGAGGCTGAGGTGGCTTTTCTTCTTTTTTTTCCGCTGATTCTGTCAAGGCTGTCGCAAGTTGAGAAGATAAATCTCGCAGGCACTTTGTAAGATCCTTAAGATAGGTATTACAAAATTATTTCAAAGAAAGTAAAAAAGACAAATTCATAAACATATATTTTTAACTTAAAATTAAGTACATAATTTCATTTTAAATACTAAAATAGATAAATGGGAATTTTTACACATCAATAAGTAGTATCTCCCTGCCATAGGTTACAATCAGAAAAATGTAGGTTATTGTTCGAAGCACTAGCACAGCAAATTAAGAAGTACACGGTCTAAAACTAAGAATGTAGGCCTAACTCAGGCAGATGGGGACGTTGTTGTATCATCAGGTACCGGTACTACAGTCTACAGATATGTACCCGAGGTAGTTTTAGGTTGTTTAGTATTATGTTTATATTTTTATACAAGGTATGTTTAGGATTAGGGTTAGGGCTAGGGGTAGGCCGGGTTAGGGTACACTTCTGTAGTACGAGTCTGGTACACTTTGTGTATACATATATGTACCTCGGGTACGACAACGACAACGACCCCTAGCTTCAGCCTAACTCAGTAGACAGTCAGTAGTGACAGTGTAAGACTAACCAAGCCTAACCCTAGACTATAGACTATAGACTAAAACGAGCTGCACTGCAGTGCTATTTTTGTCAATGCGTTGGCCTTTGCAGTCTCATTTTACATCAAACACGGTGGTAACTAAAAGCATTAAAATAGATCACACATGTTTATTAATCATCATTTCACGAAATAAAACCACTCACCTCCATGATTCCTCCCCGCGTAACCAAGGACGCGTAACATCAGATTATTTTCATCGAATATGTGGCTTACTTAGTTATACATGTATGACATGACGTTCTAAAAAAACTCTAAATTATATTAGTTACGCCTACAATAAACTAACCATAACATAAGAAATAGTTGTTCTTACTAAAATGTCTATTTTGTCTGCAAATCTTTTATTTTATGTGGAAATAAATCTTAAGTTGTATTGGAATATGTGGCTTACTTACTACGAGTGGCAGGTCGTAATAGATGGGTTCTTGTGGCGCCACAGCAACCGTCATGTGTATCTAGCAGCGAGCTTGTGAGTGGGTGCTGGCGACGGGAACCAGTCTAAGGTCGTAAATCACAGCGGTCGTGGAAAAGCAACTTTCAGAAAAGCAACTGTGGCACGGCGCGAATATATCATCTGTGCGTTCCGCGAGGAAAACAGGTAGTGGTTTCCGCGGATTTTCATAATGTTTATTTGCAAACAGGTATATATGTTTTTGTGGAAATATACATGTTGTTTTGAGAGAGTATATGTTGTTTGTGCAATTTATATTGGTTATTTCGCACAAACACATGTGTTTGACTAATTTGACAGATCGTACACCATAGTGAGCAGGTGTTTCAAGCCAGTCGGTGAAGTGTGTACATATACTCTCTCAAAACAACATGTATATTTCCACAAAAACATATATACCTGTTTGCAAATAAACATTATGAAAATCCGCGGAAACCACTACCTGTTTTCCTCGCGGAACGCACAGATGATATATTCGCGCCGTGCCACAGTTGCTTTTCTGAAAGTTGCTTTTCCACGACCGCTGTGATTTACGACCTTAGACTGGTTCCCGTCGCCAGCACCCACTCACAAGCTCGCTGCTAGATACACATAACGGTTGCTGTGGCGCCACAAGAACCCATCTATTACGACCTGCCACTCGTAGTAAGTAAGCCACATATTCCAATGCAACTTAAGATTTATTTCCACATTAAATAAAAGATTTGCAGACAAAATAGACATTTTAGTAAGAACAACTATTCCTTATGTTATGGTTAGTTTATTGCAGGCGTAACTAATATAATTTAGAGTTTTTTTACAACGTCATGTCATATAACTAAGAAAGCCACATATTCGATGATAATAACATCGAATGAATTTCTCTGATTGGGCGCAATGATTTCTTGCTTCGCGAAGCGGGTTGAAGAAGCAAGTAGTACAGGCGGTGACCGCCTGTATCATACAGGTTAGGTTTTACCGGACGAATCATGAATGGAGGTGAGTGCAGACTTATAAATTGTGCCCATCATTCATCACCTGTGACCATTGCATTGAATTCATCGGCATCAACACGAAAACAAGTCTTGGACTTATAATGTGTAGTGACGTAAAACTGTTTAGATAAATACAGTAAAATAACAATTAATACTGTTATTAATACTACTAGTAATAGTAATAGTATTTACTATTTAGTATTACTATTAGTACTACTAGTACTACTAGTAGCTCTAGTACTATGATCCGCGGGCTATAGTATAGTACTAGAGCTATACTACTAGTAGTAGTACTACAGTAGGCCTAGTAGCAGGACTCAGGAGTAAGATTAGCTCTAGTACTATAGGCCCTACTAGTACTATAGTCCGCGTTCGATTAAGTGCCGCAGGCATTAACGGCCCATTCCTGTTTGACAACCCCGGGCCAGGTTAAAAACGCAGTGGCTACGGGTACGCCAGCCGTCGGTCGTTGAAGCCCTTTTTTGGCGTTAGGGTTAGGATTAGGGTTAGGGTTATGGTTAGGGTTAGGTTTAGGTTTAGGGTTAGGGTTCTAGCTCATCTAAAGACTAAACTCTCAAATCGTGAATTTATTTCCCAAGGCGTTATTTCGAAATCTGGCGCCACCGCCGCCATCTTTGTCTCGTTAAGTATGAAAGCGAATGGACTGGCGTACCCGTAGCCTCGAGACATTAAGATACGCCTGGCGTACCCGTAGCCACTGCCGTTTAAAAACCCTAACCCTAACCCTAACCCAAACCCTAACCAAACTTACGACATCGGTATGTAAACATAATCGAACGCGGGCTATAGTACTAGATGTAGAGCTAATCTTACTCTAAACCGACCAGGCTCTCCGACTGTTACACGACGCCACGCACGCCTCTCGCCACGCAGTGTTAAGCGAGATGGGAACTTGTGGCTAATCTTACTCCTGCTATCACTAGTACTACTACTAGTACTACTACTAGTATAGCCCGACCTAAACCGACCAGGCTCTCCGACTATAGTTACACGGCGGAGGACGTAGCCTCTCGCCACGTAGTGTTAAGCGAGTTAACTTGTGGCTAGGTATATTTATATGTATATATGAAAATGAACATCAAATATATATTGATAATTTATTGATGTAATGTGATAATAGATTCAAAAATGTCAAAAAAAAACGAACTGGTTCGCACAGTGCTCATAACACATTTTTCAGCAGTGACGTTTTTATGAGCGCCATGAACATGTGAACGTTCTATACAGATGACCGTTCTCTACAAGTGGCCGCTAATACGGGTGTATAATTTTCAGATGGACAAGCTGCGCGCGCTCATGCACGAGGGAGAACATGGCGCTACCAATCTCATCAACAACTACCGCCCTCTACAGGACATCGGCACGCGCAAGATCTACAAGAGCTTCAAGAAGCTTCCCGAGAAGATGAGCCTGAAGGGGGCAGCGGACCACGTGACCGTCATGTGGGCAGTGGCGGCGGCCATGACAGTTATAGCATTCGCCGGCGCGAAACACTGATCGAGCGCGAGGGAATCGTTGACATAGATCATAATAATCTTTATAATTATTATAACGAATAATTATTATAATAAATAATTACTAGTTGTAATTATTATATCGGGAGTAAACAAATACTAGATAAGCTGCTATTCTCGTTATTCCTGTTTATAAAGACATTATGCAGATAATTGTTATCTACGTCAATGGAGAAGTTCTTCGCGCGTTCGCAAGCCTTTAGCCATTCCTTAAATGTGCACAGTGGTTGGTATGTGTTGCCATCTATGCGTGCTCAGGAAAATGACACAATCATCTAGATTAACAGTTCTAACGCGTTGGTTGCATGGCTACCCTTGGCGCATAACATACTTACTAAGCAGTTCAGGCGTTTTCCACGAGCAGGTATTTTTCCGGAGCAACCAGCTGTACACCGTGCATACTAACCACACGCGTATAAAACAGTCAGCATTCTCTCGTGAGAACGCACACGACGCACATATTCGACCCACAGCTAGCTGCCATTCGAATCGACCTAGAAAAAAAGAGAGATTTCTCCCAGAAAAGCAATAATTACCTGCAGCAAGCCGCTGTGGCTAATATCCCGCTTCTACATTGCGCATGCGCACGGACATATATAGCAGAGTGCGTGGCTAAAGCTGGGTTTACACTACCGACTTTGTGTTGGCGAATTGGCCAATTGGACCAACTTCCCAACAATATAACCGACAATCGGCAGTGTAAACACAAAAGTTGCGCGACCAACCGATCGAAAGCAACTGGTTGGGAGATTAGAACGTGTTCTATTTTCGCTAACTCGGAGTTGCCGAATTGCGAAATTGGTCCAACTCGCCAATTCGCCAACATGAAGTCGGTAGTGTAAACCCAGCTTTACAGAGGGCAATGTAGAGAGGGTGTTTGCCACAGAGGGATGTATACCGTAATACGCCGCGGGCCTGCACGCAGGTATAACAACGCCCGGTGACCGGTTGAAACACTTGCTGACATGCATACATACGGTCAATAACGAGGTGAAAAGGTGAAAAGGTGAAAAGAGAGGGCGGGGGAAATGAAAGCGGGAAGTAAGGATGGATGCACGACGAATAGTTGTTTTCGTCATTAGGATAAAATACACTCGCCTGGTTCCCCAGTGCGATTGTCATGATTTTTCATATGCAATGGTAGCTGGACGTTACTGTTATTTTGTAACCTCGTAAATATGAGTATAACTGAAGATAGATCGAATAGATAGAACGTAATTTAATAGGCAGTTATTAAGTTAATCCAGTAGGTAAGTTAATCGAATATAGATGGTCACCTAATTTGGATGTAACCTAGAACAATCAGTAGGCCGTTGTTTTTGTCATTGTTTGCGTCACGGACGACATTGTTGTGTGTCAACATTATTGTTGCTGTTGTCAACATTATTGCTGTTGTCAACATTGTTGCTGTTGTCATCATAACGTCATCGAACCAACCGGAGCAGTACATGCTTAGTTCTGCCACAGAGCAGAGCTCATTAACCATGCATACTAATTAAGCGACTCAAACAACGCCCGTAACCTTGGTAACATGGTAATCTTGAAATCCCGATGTTGTTTGTAACTATACCCTCGCGTGCGTGGCGATGCCGACTTATGTAAATCATAGATATATACAAACACTGTAAATGTTTACATGTGTATACGTGTATATGTGTATATGTGTATACGTGTATACGTGTATAATATGCATGTGTATACGTGTATACGTGTATACGTGTATACGTGTATTCGTGTATACGTGTATACGTGTATACGTATATACGTGTATATGTGTATACGTGTATATGTGTATTATGTGTATACGTGCTTATGTGTATATGTGTATATGTGTATACGTGTATATTATGTGTTTGTATATATGTGTGAACTTGATATAATTATGTCTATGCGTGAACAAACTGTGTATAGCTAATATTGCTTGGAATGGTCATGAAATGATAATACTCTCGTGCTAGTTGCCTTATCCCCGTGTCAGTTACCATATGTGACGATGTCCAATGTCCCATCAAATGAGACACTCGAGTTTAGCTATACTGCCATTATGTATGCTATTTTGTTCATATATGAATATGTACATATGATCAAGAGTAAGATAATATAGAAGTAAGATATATATCCTATATTATCTTACTCCTGATATGATTATAAGCTATATGCACCTGTTCACCATTTGTTTGTTGATGTTTTTTGTGTCGATGCGTGCGTAGGTTGACTACAAACGCCCCATGGTTGCGCACACTATAGGGCTAAATTAATTCTCAATGATTTCTAGGGGCAGCTAGTCTAGACTAGCACGTTGACTGGCCTCTGCCTTTTTTTCGTGGTCATCAGGAAAATATCGCGCACCGCTGATGGCTCATATAGTTAGTCCGCATTATTCTTATAAATATTAATACAATAAATGTGTTATATAATTTATAAGTATATCGCTGGCATTATACTACCAAATAAATCCATCCACAATAAAGCCATCATTTCGTAATAGCTTAATTTAGTTGCTATATTACGTAGTGTGTACGTGTGCATGTGCGCGTGCATAACACATGCATGTATATATGCATAATTTATATCATCATATCATCTATATATCACGAATGGATGGAGAGATGACGAGACAGTACATTGACGTTCTACACCATGGTTCCCACAAAAGTGTGAATGATTTTTTCAATGACCTTTCAAGGACATTTCGAGGACCTTTTTTTTCAAGGACCACCTGTGACAAGTAGTTTTAGCTTTTTAGAGTCATCATATATACCTTAGATTCACATATAAAGTAAAAATGGTTGTTTTACACGAGTGCCGACAGCAGATCCAACAGCCGCCATAGCTCGCCGATTACCGACGGACACAATAGTCGTTTCATACTGTCATTCACGTAGATTCATGTCACAGTCCTGTCACAATATGTAAAGCTTTGATAAAACATGTATCACTCAGAACTATGTATCACACAATGTACTGTATCACTCAGAAATTTTATTATTTTAACTGCTCAACACTATTGCATTCATCAGATTTTTTCTCCATGAAAAAGACTCTTCAGTACATGTATTTGTAGTTGAATTACATGCAATAAAGATTTAATAATAATAATAATAAACAGTTTTCCGTTCTTTATGCTGACCTTTCATCTGCTGTGTCAGGTAGTAACATTAACAGTGAATAAAAGTAATCACGTATTCCTTACTCCGCTCTCTCGGATAGTATCGCCCACGACCAGTCAAGCATGTGTAACGGTTTTCCCTCTCTCTCCAATCGCCTTACCTAACTAACCGACCGCGTCGACTAACTCGACTACTACCCTTGGCCGTGGTATAGTACGGTTGCCGTTGTCGCCGCGCACCCTGACAGGGCCGTTACTCCCCGTCCTTTCCGATTCGATCACTAGGATCGCGACGAGGCAGAGGCAGCCAACCACCCGAGCGCCGAGAAGAGGGGGGGGACGTTCCGGTCGTCCA